TGTTTCCCCACACATACGGACTCTAAAAATAGCCTATACTTCAGTATTTCGAAATTACATGGGCCTGGCCCATTAATAAGGTGACGCAGCACCTAGAATAGCCTATGGACGAATATTATGAAGTGGCATCTTGTATATTTCGTCCAAGGCTTCATGCACTCCTTATGGCGGCTTCAAAGTCCTGAAATCATCACTTGTAACTCTGTTCTTGATCCCCTTGCGCATGCCATCAACTCCATGTGTGTTCTTGCTCCAATGTTCATCCTTCTCCAAGCTAGGCCCTTCATTTGTAAGAAAAACAAATGTATCCAATTTAGGCAGCATCATAATCTCATGAACATTAGAATCATTACCAAGAAACGAAAGTACCTGGTAATTTAATTGGCGTGCGCGAGCTCTAGTAATTGGTCCAGTATATGTAACAGTAGGGGCTGTGGGTGTAACAATGGTATTGATGTCCTCATCACTGGGAGTGGTCCCGACTATTATCACTCCGGGGTTACCGGATCATAACACATAGTAGGTGACTATAACTTGCAAGATTGGATCTAGAACATGGATATAATGGTGATAACACAAACGGTTCAGATCTGAAATCATGGCACCCGGGCCCAAAGTGGCAAGCATTAAGCATGGCAAAGTCATAGCAACATCAATCTTAGAACATTGTGGATATTAGGGATCAAGCCCTAACAAAACTAACTTGATTACATGATGAATCTCATCCAACTCCTCTCCGACCAGCCAGCCTACGAAGGAATTACTCACTCCCGGCGGGGAGCATCATGGCATTGGCGATGGAGAAGGGTTGGTGATGACGAAGAACAAAGATCCCCCTCTCCGGAGCCCCAAACGGACTCCAGATCTGGCCTTCCAATGAAGAACAGGAGCTCCGTCTCGTGGATTGTGATAATTCTTTCTCTCTGGTTTTTTATGGAAAAATAGGATTTTATAGCATCGGTTTCAGGGTCTACGGGGCCACCAGGTGGGGACAACCCACCTGGGTGCTCCAGGAGAGGGGGGCGCGCCCTGGTGGGTTGTGTCCACCCAGGTGCCCCTCTCCGGTAGGTCTTGGATGTAGAAATTCTTGTTTATTGTATAAAAATTCCTCGCAAAGTTTCGTTCCATTCCGAGAAGTTTTATTTCTGCACAAAAATAACACCATGGTAGTTCTGCTGAAAAAAGCGTCAGTCTAGGGTTAGTTTCATTCAAATCATGCAAATTAGAGTCCAAAACAAGAGGAAAAGTAGATACGTTGGAGATGTATCGATAGGGTAAGGTAGTAGCTGATGTTTGGGATGGTAGTCAGATTAAATGTCTTTTAGGAGGACCTTTACTGATAAATTGATGGAGCAATGGTTTGAGTTAGAAGCCATAGTGCAATCTGTGTGCTGGATGAGGAGCAAGATGCTCTTATTTGGCAATATGAACCCAATGGCATCTACTCGTCCAACTCTCAATTAATTTTAGAGGCATTAAACGTATTTTCCTACATGTTGTGTGGTCTTTGAAAATTCCATCTAGGGTGCAATTTTTCTTGTGGCTATTGTGACAGAACAAGGTCATGACTAGGGATAACTTAGAAAAGGGGAATGTCCAAACCACTAGAATTTGAATACTGCAAAGAAATTGAATTAATATTTTATTTGATTTTTGAATGTATACTAGATCATCAACTATGGGGTGAGGTTCAATACAATTTCGGGTTGATATTTGTGATTTTATGTCTCCTACTTCGAAATGGTTGAGTAAGAAAATGTTTGAACTACTGAATGGTGTGTCTTCTGCAATCTTGTGATGTTTGTGCTTATTTAGGAATGATCTGGTGTTTTATCAAGTGGCTTGGTTAAACATGTCTAGCGCCTGGTGGTGAGAAATCTAAATGCTTGGGAGGTGATTTCAAAGGGCAGGAATGTGTGATGGTGGATAGATTTGTACAACATTTGGTGGGCAAGCACCGGCAAAAAAACATTTGGTGGGCAAGCTCAGGGCACCCTTGGCTCTATATACAGGATGAGGGTATGCAAGAAGATGCTGAAGGTACCTACATGATTTGCCACGACTGAAAATTGAGGGCATGGTGGCTATGCTTCCCTAGAGTATCTACGCAAAAGAACCCGATAGGTGCTGAGAGGCTAACAACCTCCCCCCTCCCCCTGTGTAATCAATTTCATTTTTTTCGCGAATACGCAAAGGTTGTGATGCAGAGCATATCACCATGTCAAGAGCTCCATTTCCAAGAGTCAGGTGCAACATCTACTTCAAACATATAAAGGTGAATCTCCTCCTTTATACATGTCTTCTTGTCCCCTTTGAGGATGGTATACTACTTGACCCTCCATCGTGTATGTATAGGTTTGAGTGGAGCTTCACGGACGAGGAGGAGGAGTGCAAGCACAAGAGTACGCATACACCATCCGCAAGGGGTGTGTGGAAGCAGAGACGGAAGAAGGAGAAGACGGAGCAGCTGCTGCCCTGAAACCAAACATCCAGGCACCAAGCCGGATCATCCGGGCAATGGCCGGACAATCCGGGCACCTAGTCGGACGTCCGGATACACGAACAGAAGGTTTTGCCCGTAGCTGGACCGTCCAAGTTGCAACCCAGATCATCCGGCTAATGCTCTGACCGTTCGGAATGCCTGCACGCGGATCTGGCTTTTTGGGCCTTGTATCCCCTGCTCACTTACCCTTTCGTGCCTCGGACTATATATACTCCTCCCCATCCTTATTACTAGGGTTAGCTAAGAATAGAAACCAAATAGAGCTTAGCTCATGTATCACCCCTTGTGGGATTCCTCCTATGAGAAGAACCGTCTATGTTGGCCTCTTAGGAGAAGAAACAATCATGGTTACCAAGACCCCTTAGGGGAAGATTCCTCCATGGAATTCATGACCTATCTCTCATAGAGATTTGATTGAACTACCCTTGTATCTTTATTTCCCTTGTTGTTCTTTGATCTTGATGTATCCCATGTATTTCTTGTGATTTGATGAGTACTTGGTGTGGATATTGTCCAATAGCGTTTCCCTTATGATTTACCATATTTGTCCCTCGCGTTCCTTCTCAAAGCCACCTCTAGTTCGTGAAGATTGGGCCACATAAGGTCTCTACCCTACATGAGGTTGTGTATCTTTTCATTGATAGAAGGGGAGTGACAACACGAGATTACATCCACTCACTTAGCCATGTGCACATATAGGCATGGTAGCGAGTGGAGGAGCAAACAAATAGGGGGGTGCTCAAACCCCATTATAACACAAGCTAACTCTCGGAGATGATGTTCTTGATCCCGGTGACGCCGGCCTTAGCCCATAGGGGCGCCTCATCTTTGATGGTAGCGGAGATATGAGAGACCAATGGTTGATCCTTGTCGAAGATGCAGCCGTTGCGGTGTTTTCATAGCCATCATGCGGTGAGGATGATGAGGGGGGCCAATCCCTTGCGAGTAGACATAGATGCGTGATCACAGGATGCACCCACCAAGACTGGAAGGCCATGTCGCCATACGGTAAGTCAGCCGTTGACCTCGCCCATCCTAGAATCTCGTGCCAAACTTCTAGAGAAAGAGCAGCCCGCTAGCAGGTGTTGCACGGTCTCGGGTTCTTGATCACATAGGGCGTAGGTAGTCTCGTCAGGGAGGCCGTGGCGAGCAAGGCATCTACCGACCAACAACAGTCCTGCATAGTCAGGTAGAGGAAGAACTTGATGCACAGTGGTGCCCATAGCTTCCAGGTCAACTTCCGGTGTGGGTCTTCATAAGCGCCAAAGAAGAGCGCCTAATAGCATGAACTAGATGAGCATGTGATCGAGCTGGTCCAACGCTAACATAAGGTATCAGGCGCATCTAGAGGCCGATGTGGCGCAGACACCGCCAGAGGTCAATGTATTGAACCATGGCAACGGGACCTAGCGCTCCTTGGATATCCTGGACCTGGACCCAGGAACGCAGGTGGAGGCCCTCCTGGACGGTACTGGACATGCGGCGACACCCAGGGACAAGCATGAAGATGAGCGGGGCGATCTCAGCCGTGGATCTTCCCTCGATCCAGTGGGCGGGCCAAAACTTGCAAATGTTGTAATCATTTCAGCTTGCCTGCGTGCGAGCAATGTAGTGAGGCTCTTGCGCCTGAGTTAAAACTGAACTTCCCTGGAGTTGGGGTCATTCTGACCTTGTAAGAATTTGGAGGAGCGGGTGTGGTCTGCGTTGTCTGAGACCTATTACGTTTAATGGAACAGGGAATGGCGATCCCAGATGATCTAAAAATAATAGTATCATTGTAGACCACGATGTGTTCTAGTAATGTTCATAAAGAAGGTTCTATTTCTGCATGAATTTGGGATTTTTTTTCACCTTTCAGGGATGTAAATATTCAATGGAAAAAGTGACCAAGCAAAATAAATACTCCCTCCATTCCTAAATATGTCTTTCTAGACATTTCAAATGGACTACAACATATGGATGTATGTAGACATATTTAAGAGTGTAGATTCACTCACTTTGCTTCGTATGTAGTCACTTGTTGAAATCTCTAGAAAGATAAATATTTAGAAACGGAGTGAGTAAAAACAAATGCTCTTCATACGAAAAACAAAGCAACACGGAAACTTAAGTTCAGAAAACAAAGTTGCATGACGCTTTGCACAGCAAATCTTTTGGCAGATGATGTTATTCGGTGTAGCATCTGATTGAAATGCATGAATCTTTACATCAAACAGTTCATTGCTCACAGCAATCCAGAAAAGCTCACGGGTTCCAGATGGGGGCTTATTTTACAAATGGACAATACACATCATTTATGTCAACAAATGTACAAAGAAACCTCGACGTGATTATATGACTATTCCAACAATCAATCTAAGAGCAAAAGCTGTGCACATGTAGGGACAATAGGAACAGGCGGTGCTGAAGAGGAAACAATGGCTGATCAACAGTATAATGGATGGTCGCTGACTGGCTGCTTACGGGTTGAAAGGACGGTTCATCTGCTGGCTCAGAATCAGGCCTGGCCGAGCTTCTTGACGAAGGCGGCCATGTACTTGCCCTGGTGCTCGGCGAGGGCAAGTTCCGCCTCGCTGGGCTGCCTGCTACCGTCACCAGCAAGAACTCCAGCTCCATAGGGGCTGCCCCCTCTGATGTCGTCCATGTTAAACATGCCCAAGCCAAAGGTGTAGCCGATGGGAACAAACAGCATCCCGTGGTGCACCAGCTGGGTGATTGCCGTCCAACTGCAGTGAACAACCAAATCATATATGGCCGGTCAGTGACAGGCCAGCAAAGCAAAGGCACGGACTGAAAACCAACATAATCAAAAAGCATGAGAAGAGTACAGAAGCAATTCATAGTGAGTAACTAGCTGTTATAAAAATCTATTGACAAGTATGGGCATAATTGACAGATTGAACTTTTGCCTATCGCGAGAGCACAAACATACCAAAATGATATGATAAGGCAATGTTTATTTTGGAATCAAGAAAGATAAAACCAGTGTATTCTTTATTTGCAAAAGACAAGAGAGTGAATGCTATTTGATTTTTGCCATCACCTCTCATGCTAGACACGCATTGGATCAAAAATAGTGCAGTCAGTTTGAACTTTTAAGTGAAAAAGAAGACAGTAAATGCTATTTGATTTTTTCTGTAGCATGTCATACTCAAGACAGATTGGGTAGAGGAGCAGTGCAGCTAAATTAGTGAGTTGAAATTTGCATTTCAAATGTCCGCAATTATCGCAGGAGTTTACGAATACTATATATAATCCGTGCTCCTCACAGCCAGCCGATTGCAGATTTGACAGCTCGTGCTTAGGACTGAACCACACAAACCAGGTTGAGCGGTGGTACAACAGATTCTCTGATCCGGTACAAGCCTAGAAGTAATGATCCACGGCCATGCTATCTCTGTTATTAATAGTCACATGGTACAGAGCCATGATCATTAGTAATGAAGAAAATAGTGCATCAGCAACTTGAATAGCTCTCAGTAAAGCATCCCATTTCCATATATTGTAGCTACCGAACGATCTGTAACATCACCATCATATGCATTATGTCAGTTTGTGAAATTAACTTGCTTGTGATACCCTTAAGGACGATTTACGTGAAAATTCTCAAGGCATCATGGTTCATTTGAAACACCCCTACCACGACCACCCCATTCAGTCTGATTCCTTGCCCAGTTAGTGTTGAACATGAGTGCAAGGGCAAATTATATACTGGGTGCATCATGCTGAAAATTCAGGCAATGGAATGATTTAAAGTAGATACGATGTTAAACCAACACACACACACACACACGTAAAAGACATCCATGCCCGCCTTATTCATGACCTGCCTGACTTATTGCAGAGACAGTGCATGCTGATGTCTCCAGATTCGCAACCAATGAAGTCGTGAAAACACCAGCAAAATAAAAAGTTGCTCACAATGCACTGATCCTAAAGAATATGTTTATGTATCCTCAAGGTTCAGTGCAACACCTAGAAGGCTAGAAATATATGTGACATTTCTCTTGTCCGCTATATAATTCAAATAGACAGGGGTCCGGGAGAGGGAAGTGTTCCGATATTGTCCAAATCAAAGAATCATATATCAATACCATTTTCCAGTGCATAATAACGAACACCACCATAAAGATGAAATAATTGACAGATTAATTCATCCCTGTAGAAGAGGTGGTAAGATGCTTACGCAGTGGTCTCCTGGCCGCCGCCCTGGGTGCCGGTGCTGACGAAGAATCCGGCGGGCTTCCCGGCGAGCCTCTGCTTCTCCCAGAGGGAGCCTGTGGAGTCAAAGAATGCCTTCATCTGCGCGGCCATGGCGCCGTACCTGGTCGGGAACCCGAACAGCACCCCGTCGGCTTCCTCCAGGTCGGCCGGCGCTGAGATGACCGGGACGGTGGGGTCCTTGGATGGCGCCTGCATCTTCTCCAGCACCTCCGGCGAGAGAGTCTCCGGCACCCGCCGCAGGACGACCTCCACCCCCTCCACCGCACCCGCTCCCGCTGCCGCGTGACGCGCCAGCGCCTCCACGTGCCCGTACATCGAGTAGAACACGATGTACAGCCGCAGCGTCCGCCTCGACTCCCCGGTGGGTGCGTCCAGGGCCTCCTCGGGCGCGTCCCGCGGGACCGCGGTGGCTGACGACGACGAGGGCGCGGCGGCGACGGTGGTGGCCGGCGGCTGGCGCTTCTTGCTGGGGACGCAGCCGCCGCCCTTGCCCATCTCCGGCACCGGGTATACCACCAGTCAAGTCAACCCTCGATGAAAATTCAACTCCAAATAGGACCAACAAACCTGCATCAAATCAAAGAAGCGGCAATTCAGCAACACCTCCCGCAAATAATGGCTCCAACGAGTGAATAGCGGATCTGGACGAAGAACATGCACGCGATTGCAAAATCAGGAATGCGAACTGCGGAGACGAGACCTCGGAATTCTCCTAGGGAGGTGGTCAGGTGGAGTGTGACAGGAGAAGAAGACTGTAAGTAGTGTGCGAGTGCGGATGCCAAATGCCAGCCAGGAAGCGACAAAGAAGAGGAAGCAGGGCGTTCGACCAAAAAGATCTCTATTTCTAATGAGCAGTTGGTAGTTTTCAGGTTTTTTTTCCACCTTTTATGGTTTTTTGGTACCTCCTTTCATCTTCGTTGATTTTTTTTTAGATTTTTTTTGTCCCCTCCCTCACTTCGTCGGTTTATTTTCGCGTCACCCTGTCAAACAACAAAAGAAATCAGAACAGATCAGAACTTTCCATACTGGCGCAAGTTATTTAGTAATGTAGAATCAATCATGAACAATCTCTAAAGATCAAATCTAAATTAATTAACCTTACCTTAAATCACTCAATCACATTAATTAGAGAACAAATAATTGATTTTCAGAAAAATCGCTCAACCACATTAACCTTACCTTAACTCATGGATGGTAGTCAATCTCCAAATAAAGGAAACAATACATCGAGAGAGCAGTAAATAAACTCCCTTTCTTATGACATGTATATGATCTTCCATTCCCTCTCCGTTGTCGTGCGTTCTTAATTCTCGAGACCGATGATTGGGCTGCATCATTGGATCGCGACGGTGCCGGAGGACGAGGACGGCGAGGTCGGGTGCCACGGCACCGCGTTGGCCGCGGCGGGTGAAGGGGGCGAAGAAGGGCGGCTTCCCTGGCCCTGGGAGTTGGTGCGGTGGAAACGACACTTGAAGGACCCGGCGTGGGTGACCGGCACGCAAACGCACTTGGAAGCGGGCCCGTGGCCCGTGCCAGACGGCGCCGACGCCGACCCGGGCCACCTCCTCCGCGTATTCTTGGAGCTGTGGCTGGCCGATTTACATGAAATTAATTCCCTCGGTTATGGTGGCAAATATAATACACATAATCCATATTGTTATGCACTAGCGTGTGTGTGAAATAGATGGATTATGGTCCCGTACCCAATAAGATGGATATGTGTGTGTTAGAGAGAGAGGGAGAGGGGGAGAGAGAGTGAGGAAGAGGGAGGGAGAGAGTGTGTGTGCGTCACTTGATATGTATGAGAATATTAATATTGAACTCTTAAAGTTAATATGGCCCCGTTGCAACGCACGGGCGTTCTTCTAGTAGTACTAGTGTGTCACGCGCGCGTTGCTGAGCCGTTCTTCAGTCACGAGTTAAGTCTACTTTTAACTTTTGTAGCTAAGCAATCTTCCTTCGGACAGCGACCCCGACTCCCGTGTCGCTCCCACAAGCGGCCCGGGAGTAAACCCTAGCCGCCGCCAGTTCCTCACCTCCGGCCACTCTCGCCTCGCCGCCGCCGGCATGGGTCACCATGCAAAGCCCGCGCGGCCTGGCGGCGGTGGGGCCCTTTCCACCTCCGTTTCCGGGCTTCGTGGCGTGGGCTATTGGCCTCTGCTAGAGTTCATGGGGACGCATCGCTCGAGGCAGCACGACAAGATGGCGGGGTGGCAAGTCGACAACGCGGCGCAGGGTGGCTCTGGCGCGCAGGTCACGCTGCGGGATGGTTCTGGCACCTAGGTCGCGGTGCGAAAGCACGCGGATCTGGCGCCTGGAGGGTTCGCGGTGGGCGAGGCGTCTGCACCTGGAGAGCATGCTACGGCGCAGCTCGACTGCGCACGGAGGTGCAGCGCGGGCTTTCGGGAGGTCCGGGCGACCCAGATCTGGCGAGCGCAGCGGCATCGACTTGAGCGGCACGACCCCCTCTCCCTTCCCCTGACAGGATCTTGTCCGCGGAGCTTCTGCCGGCGCGGCATGCCTAGGCTCTGGCGGCAGCCCTGTTCTGCGGAGGTGGCAGTGGTGGGTTGGCTTCGTCCAGTGGTGCTGCCTGGGTGGCAGCAGCTTTGGGCGGCGCGTCTTCCCTCCCTATCCGAGATGGGATCTCGTCCGGCGGAGTTCCTGGCGGCGCAGTGCGTCCAGGCTCTGGTGGCAGCCCTGTCCGGTGGTGGTGGTGGTGTTGGGTAGGCAGGCGCCCTGGAGACTGCTGGGCACTTGGTGGTCCTGGCAGCTGCGGTGTAGTTCGGTGGGGTGGTGCCGGCTATCCTAGCGATGGTGCGGCTGTTCACAAGTGGCTCCTTCAAGAAGGTGTTGCGGCAGTAGCGATCTGAATCAACTTGGACGGTGCGGCCCCATTCCGATGGATTGGATTGTAGGTGTGCGGTGATACGGATGAAAATCCAGCCCGGCTTTGGTCGGTGCCAACAGCGACGGCACCTGTGGATGTCGTTCACCTTCCTGAAGGCGTCGCTGTGGTGCGTCGACACCTCGCTCCCTCTCATTTGGTATGTTGTCTCCGGGCGAAAGCCTTGATTCAGTTGCAAATCGGCGATGACGGTGTCATTGGTGTCGTTCCTCCGTTGGGAGCATCGTTTGTTGGAGGAGGGCTTGGAGGTTCCTTGTTGTGTTTCTTCGGTGCTCGCCGCTGCTCTGGATTGTTCTTCAAGGGTGCTATGTACACCATCGCGGGTGTTTCCAAGATGATGGCTTTCACGGAGTTGTCCGAGTCCCGCCACCCACCTGCCAATTCTCTTCAGGCGCTCATGGGTGGAGGGTGCGTTGGCAAGGAGAGTTCTTTCGAGTTATTGCTCTTCGGAAGTGATCGATGTTGGTCGAGACATGGCCTTGTTAGACTTCTTAGGGTAGGCTCTCTTGCGTTGTGGTTGTTTTGTGATCATTGAGTTGGAGTGGTTCTTGCTTCTCACCGGGATGTGGTGGAAGCTTCTTGTATTTTATTTTCTATCTCTATAAAGCTAAGGCACACAATTTGTGTGCTCTCAGAAAAAAGAGTTAAGTCTACTTTTCTAATTTCGGGTGCGGTCTATTACTATCGGTTAGCTCATCTCTACTTCTAATGGAGCAGTTGGTAGTCTCGCTTCCAGGTTTTCTTTTTTCCAACCTCCCATGGTTTTTTTGCCCGGTTTTTTTCGTTGGCTTTTTTTTGTCGGTTTTGTTTCGTCACATCCCGCTCCCACACCTTCGTCCACCGGTTTCCAGAATCGCAAAGGAAAAACATTCTCTCTCCTCCCACCAGCGGCCTCGATCTGGGATCGCTAGGGCCGCCGCCTGAAGGAAATATGCCCTAGAGGCAATAATAAAGTTATTATTTATTTCCTTGTATCATGATAAATGTTTATTATTCATGCTAGAATTGTATTAACCGGAAACATAATACATGTGTGAATACATAGACAAACAGAGTGTCACTAGTATGCCTCTACTTGACTAGCTCGTTGATCAAAGATGGTTATGTTTCCTAACCATTGACATGAGTTGTTATTTGGTTAACGGGATCACATCATTAGGAGAATGATGTGATTGACTTGACCCATTCCATTAGCTTAGCACTTGATCGTTTAGTTTGTTGCTATTGCTTTCTTCATAACTTATATATGTTCCTATGACTATGAGATTATGTAACTCCCATTTACCGGAGGAACACTTTGTGTGCTACCAAACGTCACAACGTAACTGGGTGATTATAAAGGTGCTCTACAGGTGTATCCGAAGGTATTTGTTGGGTTGGCGTATTTCGAGATTAGGATTTGTCACTCCGATTGTCGGAGAGGTATCTTTGGGCCCTCTCGGTAATGCACATCACTCAAGCCTTGCAAGCATTGCAACTAATAAGTTAGTTGCGGGATGATGTATTACGGAACGAGTAAAGAGACTTGCCGGTAACGAGATTGAACTAGGTATTGAGATACCGACGATCAAATCTCGGGCAAGTAACATATCGATGACAAAGGGAACAACGTATATTGTTATGCGGTCTGACCGATAAAGATCTTCGTAGAATATGTAGGAGCCAATATGAGCATCCAGGTTCCGCTATTGGTTATTGACCGGAGACGTATCTCGGTCATGTCTACATAGTTCTCGAACCCGTAGGGTCCACACGCTTAAAGTTCGGTGACGATCGTAATTAGGGTTTTGTGTTTTGATGTACCGAAGGTTGTTCGGTGTCCCGGATGTGATCACGGACATGACGAGGAGTCTCGAAATGGCGAGATTTTACCGGAGTACCAGGGGTTACGGAACCCCCTGGGGGGTTATTGGGCCTACATGGGCCCTAAGGGAGAAGAGGAGGGCCGGCCAGGGCAGGCCGCGCGCCCCCTCCCCCCTAGTCCGAATAGGACAAGGAAGGGGGGGGCCTTTCCTCTTTCTCCCGTCCCCTTCCCCCTTCCTTTTCCAACAAGGCAAGAGGGGGGAATCCTACTCCCGGTGGGAGTAGGACTCCTCTAGGTGCACCCCTTGGGCCGGCCGCACCTCCCCCTCCCCCTCCTTTATATACGAGGGCAAGGGGGCACCCCATGACACACAAGTTGACCTTCGTGATCGTTCCTTAGCCGTGTGTGGTGCCCCCTTCCACCATATTCCACCTCAGTCATATCGTAGCAGTGCTTAGGCGAAGCCCTGCGTCGGTAGAACATCATCACCGTCATCACGCCGTCGTGCTGACGAAACTCTCCCTCAACACTTTGCTGGATCGGAGCTCGAGGGACGTCACCGAGTTGAACGTGTGCAGAACTCGGAGGTGTCGTACGTTCGGTACTTGGATCGGTCGGATCGGGAAGACGTACGACTACTTCCTCTACGTTGTGTCAACGCTTCCGTTGCCGGTCTACAAGGGTACGTAGACAAACACTCTCCTCTCTCGTTGCTATGCATCACCATGATCTTGCGTGTGCGTAGGAATTTTTTTGAAATTACTACGTTCCCCAAAAGGTGGCATT